CTCATAAATTCACATATAAACTTACTGCATGCCATATGGACCCATACAAATAAAAAACTATGGACCCAACACAAGATCTACTGCTAGGAGCTTACAGGCATGTGTTTATTTCAACACTGACCTTGGCCTACAAAAACTTCAGTCCCTAATAGTTAATTTCAAGGGTCCATGAAGGAAACAGTAGGGTCCTGTAATGTAATGAAATAGTGTTGTGTAATATATTGCAAGATTTCAAAATCACCATAATTATTGGGAACAATGAATCTTGCAGGACATCTATCAGAATGCACCATATTTTTTACCTGCCTTTATTCTAGACACTTGTCCGTACAGGACTCACGTTTTTCAATTGTGTTAAACATTATAAACATACTTTTCATAAATATCACTTTTCCTTTGGTGAAACTCTCATTTCAAGATGGTTATTGCTTATTCTTATCATTATCACTACAAAGCTTACAAAACGGTCAAACTTAAAACTTTATTCTTATGTCAGCATGACTTTGCCTGGTCATGAGTACATTATCTTAAGTTTTACCATCAAAATAGACATGATTACCTGTTTTGCAAATGCCTGGTGTCATAAACAGTTTTCAGTGATCTATTTATATCATTTCTACCTCTATTTTGCTTTTTTTGCCTGTTTTTCAAGACCAGTTATTCTCAGGGGAATGGCCAGTTCAATCTGTTTGGGCATGAAATCAAGACCAGTTATTCTCAGGGGACCCAGCCGAACCAAAAGCTAACTCCCATTCTCTAACATAGACTTACGATGTTCTTAGTGCTAAGATCGCCTGTGCAGGCAATCGCTAATCTCAGAAGTTACCAGTTCTGAGAAACCCATAAGCATAGGTAACCCAGCCTAACCTGGTCCTTTATTCTCGAAACGTTCGTAGTCCTAAGAATTCTTAACTTTAATCGTAGCCAATGTGTTAAGAATGGGCTTAAGAAGTTTGTAGGACTTAAGAAGTTTCGAGAATAGCTAGCCAGGTCTACCTTCAACCATCAAGAATTGGAATGGTGGTAACATGACCAGCGCAGGTTTCTGGAAAGGCCAGCTAAAAAAATGCAAGACGAATGTCACTAATTTCAAAAACATTTGCCAAAACCAGCTTTCGAATTTTTACCACTCATAAACACTCAAGATGTCCCGAATATGCCAGCTTCTCAAAACAAAGGCCATTAGTGATGGTGCCAGGCTATGTTTGGGGTGTGTAAGGTATGGCTGAGTGGCCACAATGTTGACTCTGTGTCAGTATCTTTAACTGCTAGCATCACTCAACCCCAGCCCACGTTGTAATGACTTAAACACTCATGTCCCTGTACCAGGATGAAGTATTTATTTGCTTCAAGATTCGAAGCACTTAACTGTAATCCTCCTTCTGCTTCGTGTATCTTCCCATGGGAAGGTGTTAGAGGTGTGACGATACAGAAATTTCACGACACGATACGATACGTATCGCAATATCTTGGAATGATACGATTTGATTCGATGCATATCACGATATGCTATCTTTAGTTATTGTCTTTAAAAAAGTATATTTTGATAGCAGAGCAAAATTTTGACATAACCATCAATTTCTCATGGGTCAACGATACATATCACAATACGAAAAAAGTATGGAAATATTTATCATCAGATAAAGTATCATGATTATCAATACTACGATATATCATCATAGCACTAGAAGGTGTTCCAAGTTTACAGTTCCGGCAACATATATGTATAGCTTTGATAACGTGATTTCATAATCCTGTTGGATCAGAATCAACAGTGTTACTAACAAAAAAGATTGAAGTGAGTGTTATTTGTGTCCATGTATTTTATGAGTTCTTTGAAGGGCATTTAGAAGTGATGAACAAGAGTCGAAGATGTTTCGGGACATCAACTTCATAATTTGTCAAACGTAACATTCCAGAGCTAATTCTAACTCTTTCTTCTGCAGTTCTTCATTTGAAGAGTCTGGAGCTCAAACTAGTAGTTCACACAAAATATCTAGATTTTGGATGAAATCACCTAACCTCTGGATTTTCCCCAGTCTCTGACAAATGGTTCCCTTGTCTAATTCTGAACAAGCACTCAAACTTTTCTTGAAGTACATGATTTGAAGAAATACCATTTTCAGCACTTTTCGAAAATTTGAATATAAATTCCATGACAGGATGAAATTGATGTGCACATCGGCCCCCCACCCCTCCCAGCAGTATGACAGGTCATGCCCTGGGGGGTAGTGCTTTATGGGACATCCAGCTAGGCCCACTATTCTTATCTGTCAGTAACACTATGCTACTTGTGTTGGGAGACCAGACATACCTCTAGGTCAGGATTAATACCATCAACTTCCATAAAAGCAAATTACGAATGGTCAAACTGTAGCATAATGTCCATCATAAATGCAATGATGTGCATTGATGAACTGGTTTACAAGCATGAAGCTTTTCCAGCCTTTGAAACTCTCCATCTGTCACTTAGAGGTTCAGACAGAGACTATAATACAAACTACAAAAATATTTATAAATGGTTTCATAAAATATATGAAAATTGTTAGATTGAATGAAAAGGTAATATTTCATGGTTTCATATCAGGAAATGAAAAGAGACATGTTGAATATATTGAAATTTAAACATAATCACTAAGTGTTAAATTTTATTTTAAAATATTTTCTCATCAGCTATTTCAAATTTTGGTTGGTTTGCTGAAAAAGCAAAATTAAATTTTACTTGTATTTGTAAATTAGAAAAATATTTTACTATGTCAGACAGACTATGACAGGTTAGAGTCAGACATCAGCTGTCAGACATCAACTAACTTGTCAGCGGCTTGCCAATCAGCGCATACAGACATCACCCTCCTCATAGTGTCCACACACATAAACTTTCCTCACTGTCCCCATTCTACAAACATCATTAACCTTGTCAAGAAAGCACATGATTTCCCTAAATACATCGCAATGCAAACTGCACCTAATCCCTCCCATGCACAGCTAATTCCATCAACTTAGGACCTAACTAGCTTGGATCAGTTCTGGTGATCTGACCAGGATAATCAGCAAAGAAAACAGAAGGGTTAAAACTTTAATTAGTGTTGGAGTGCTCCTATCTGGCTGCCAATAGTTGTGTCTGGAGACCTAAGTCCAGATTCAGCCCTTAATTCCAATCCCCCTGGTTTATGCATGCAAGCTGGTCAATGTCTACTGGATACAATCTATACATAGGCAGGTCATCAAATTTGGGTACATTCAGACTGAACAAGCCATGCAGTGCTAGACATGCTAAAATTACACTTTTATGACCCATGGCTTGCCAAGCAATCTTTATGGCAATTGTCATGTTCAATTTATGTTGGTATTGTGAATGTCTGGCAACAATAAAAATTTCTTAATCTGTAAGCATTCAACAAGAGTGAACATAAATACTCAATAAGACAAAACAAAACAGAAAAGGCAATGGCAAATATAAATAACATAAACACTTTCTTGTAGATACCAGTTACAAACCACAGTCCAAACATTTAAAAAAAATACATTCACACAATCATAGGCAACATATAACATGAGTCCAACACACTTACAGCCAAAAGTTAAACATTCGCTTAAATATCCTATGGAACTTGTGTTAGTCTTGTGTGATGATAAATTGTTAGTGCTGGTGCGAATAAATGATTTGGCATAATTTCTAGTTCTTATTTTAACAACTTGCAAGTGGAAACTATAACGTCTTATATGTTGTAGGCACAAAACTTCAAACTGAGATGAAAATGATTCTGTATACATTTCTCATTTCTAAAAGTAACCGCTTCCAGTAACTATCACCTCTACGTATATATTCAATGTAAGACAAGTTTTATATAACTTGATTTTCTGCAGCTGCTCATTTTATTGCTAGGCATAACCAACACCATATCGAACATATTTATTATTCAATCATTTATCTGTTATTTTGTATCAGTATTATTCTTTTGTTGTCAAATTATTTCAATTTTGTATCCAGCTATTGGAACAATGTACTGGAGCTGCGTTTATATAAGCCACTAGGTTTGTTCGCCTATCCATGTTTCTTTGATGAAATAAAAATATGTTGAAATCATTTCCTCTTGTGTAATAGGACTAAACCCAGGAACAGGTATTCCATTGCCATTTGATATTAAACATTTGCAGGAAACAGCCGTTGATGAAGCAACTATCAAAGTGTGTCATTGATGTGTTCAAACCTAATCACTTGCACACACCATACTGCAACATGGTGAAAATTTTCAATTTGTCAGGTATCTAAGAATGCCTCACATGTCCTGCAATAAATTACCTGCTGCATATGTTGGTTGGATCATGCCACATGTGTGGTAGATCTAAACAGATTCTCAAAAACAAAGAAACGGTAACTTCAGATAGTTGTAATTAGAACCAAACATGCAAATTACACTGGCAAGATTGATCAGCTCTATTTGTTTCTGGAGAAAGTAAGTGGTGCAAGATGTACATTTGGGTGAGAAAATATCGCTATTGTTTGAAAACATTTTAAGTCAAATCTCAGTTCGGTTATCTTGTCAGGGTAGAATGTATTATATAATGTCAGTAAGAAAAGAAACTTTCGAATGCATGACATTATTAATAATTATCTTTATCCACTGCACGGAATTGCATATTTTGTTTTGCAAATGATAAATTATCCCTGAAATTTCATAACAGTAACCAATACTTAAATTACAGTGTAACTTGTAACGAAACTAGTAAGTGTGTCATCGCAAGTATCAATCCAGATTCAGACATAACCAATAAGCATATAGATTAACATAAATAAAGATCACTATACTGTCAACATTGGTCACTATTATGTCGGTTGACAGTGCTAAATACTGCTTCACACTTGCATCGTTGTCTGAGTTACGACTGAATGAAAGGGAAATACGGTGGTCTGACTCCACTGTCTGACCTAATTAGGCACCACAGAAATCGTGTTGAGCTATTGTTTGCATATCTACCTAAACAATTCTAAGTCTTACTCTATTATCGCACTCGATCGCCATTCAAAACATCAAGACTTTCCCACATGGAACCAACATCCGGTAACGCATGGGCAGTGGAGTGTTTTCCGCCAACCAATTAAATCGCGTCTTTCAAAGCGAACGCCCAATCGTCGAGCTTGTTTGCAATTGAACAATAGATGGAGGACTGCGGCGGCTGTTTTGACTTGAGAAGGAGAGAGAACATAAAATTCTCCCATCCTGACTCGCTTCAGACATCACAACTGAACTCAATCGCAACACATGTATCTCCACTATCCGTGGACTACCAATCTGACGAGATACATACTTTAGATCAGGATATATACCAAACAACATTAGGTGAGTGACAGACCCATACTGCCATATTTTAATGTGGAGATCCGATTCCCGAGTGACAGCTCATTGCCGTGAAGCGTATTTGTTCCGTTCACAATTATACGGATATCGGGATACAGAGCTTATGCGGAGAAGGATCTACAACCTACAGATTATTGGATGTACCATGTTCCTTACGATCTTCAGCGGCTGAGTCCATAAGCTTGGCGTATAGAAGCATCCGGTAGAATATTTACAGAAGTAGACGCACCGCTTGTCTCCAGTGTTTATTGGATTTTGTCTTTTGTCACGGTAAATCAGTTGATCAAGAATTTCAGGTTCCTGACATTTCGACAAAGAAATAACTTTCAGAGTCCCAAACAGCCTTTATCTCAATAATTTGATGAAATGTTAACGTGTTCATTAATTTTCATTATTTCAACATATCCTGTTAAACTTGAAAATGTCAAGTATAAATGTATTTAGGCCCAGTAGATTCAAACATTGACAGATGACATTTCATTTTTGTTGTCGGATTATTTCCATTTTCATCATTGTTTTGGTATCATTGTAATTTTCTCATAGCTGGCAACAGCTAACACACCTTTGTACCAAGAAAATGTGCCACTATTAATATATTCATAGAACCTAGGTTAGATCTGGTAATATTACATCCTTTGTGGTAAAAAGCTCATTGGCTGGTATTGATTTTCATAGAATTTTATGTGCTAAATATTTATCACTGATAAATAAATCTGTGATATTTAATTAATGTGAGCACAAGTACATAGTTGTAAAGTCCATTTCACATAATTTCAGCATCAGTGATCATACCATTGTCCCACACCCTTTATTATGTGGGTATTAAATGCTGTAACAGATGATTTTGATTTAATCCTTGTGGTCCTAATTTTCTTGGTCTGTAAATGATGGACATAAATTTTATAACAGTTATCCAGGTGTCAGGGCTGACTGGAACCTAATTGGCTCCCTGCTGGTCAGTGTAGGTCTGTTATCTAACTGTGTTGGCCAGTGAGCTGGTCAGATGTGTGGCCAGAGGCTGGTGGTTCACATCTGCAATTACTCAAGGCAATCAAGCTTAACTGGTTACATGGAGGGTCTGAACACAAATTTAAGAACTATTTTCCTGTTTGATACATATATTTTTACATTCACTACAATTTTAGTATTTCAAAGAAATCAATCTAACACTTTGAACAAAACTGTTTTAAACATTGTTTCAGTACTGAAACTGTGACCAAGCTCTATGGGTGTAGTCATGCATGAATTTCTGTTGTAATTGAATAAATAAATGTCTGTATTTCATAGCTATAAAATATAAACCATTCATCAGTCACGGTAATAAAAGTCAGGTTTGACCAACTAAATTACAACTTCCATCTTGGTCACCATACCCATCGCAGACTAAGTATTTTTAAATCCACATTTATTGATCATGGTGGTTAGGTCTTAAGATTTCTGCAAACCTTTGATCTCGGCAATATCCCCTTACAATGCTTTCATTCAGCTGTGCAAGCAAAGCATTTCCTCCCTACTCCCTATTTATGGTCAGACATCTGAATGCCTAACATGGCCTGTGCCCTTTTCATCCTTGCTCTACCCTCCCTCATCCTCCCACCCTTTCTAACATGGATCCACAGTTTTCTTCCTCCTGGATAATAAAGATTTCTCACTGTCTCGGGTAGAGCCCCTATTACATGTGGTCAGTAAACCAGCTTTATTACTGGATCCTCGCAACTTTGAACCTTGATGGCTGTAAATTCCGGGTGTTGGTTGCAAATCTTCAGGATTGATGCATATTCCATGCAAATGTTGATCTGACCTTGGGATCAGGAGATTTCCACTGATGTTTTGATTGCATATTGATGACTTGGTTGCCACTTAAAGTGTCCATGAGAATTCCTCCTTGTCGGATCTGTTTGTGTATTTTATTGCTGTATTGTCAGTGGATGGTTGCTATTTGGGAAAGTCCTCGCATCACATTAGTTAAATAGATTAATCTTGTGAAAAAGAAATGTTCTGTCAAATGTTAAATGTAAGTCTGAGCAATGTGCTTAGTATGTATATTTTTCTTATTTTATCAATCATGTACAACACCTTTGTCATCTTTGGTGCAATATACATGAGATTGTTTATTTGACACATGCATTTCATGAAATAAAATATTAAAAGTATGAAATTATAATTATAAATCCATATACTTTTAAGACTAAAGTACATATCCTATGACAATACTAAAAAGGGTGTTTTTTCACAAGTTTACATGATTGACATGATGTGAGAGACAGACATCCACATGAGTCTGATGTCAAATTGCAGTTTGTCGGTTTCACCTAGGCTGTAGGCTATTTCACTCATTCAAGTGTCAGAGGCTGAAATCAACACAGGTCCTGCCAAGGTTGTTTATAGGTCCCCCCTGCTACCGTTCTCTAACTAATTGCGATTCCAAGCAAATTGGGATATTCCCAATTAGTGCAGTGTAAACAATTTAAATGCTTCTGTGGCCTCATACTTCAGAATGTTTTTATTTACGTATTGCTTGTAATGATAGGAAAACATTTAGAATGAATGATACTCAGACAGTTAGCAGTAGCTGCCAGATATGTTGGCAACAATTAACACCTGGCCTCTTAACGTGTACCCTATATTTAGTGGTATGGAAATTGATGTTATGAAAATTACAAGCATTTATCTAGAATTTCAATTCATGGAGAAAAATATTCTTTAAAGTAATTATTTAGGTCAATGTCTGATTATCTTTTTATGTTTTGAAAGCTTTCATAAGAATTAATTACCTTTAGAAATAGACATGATGAAAAAAAGGTTGTCTTTGATGTTCCCTGAATCATATTGAAATGTGCAACCCATAAGAAATGTTTATTCTGTCTAATCCCTATCTCTTTGGTCAACCCCTAAGGAGTCACAATACTCAAGTTCCAGTAAGGTTGCAGCTAATTTGGGGATTACCCAGTTCACTGAGACAATGCCACTGTGTCACAATGGATCAGTAAGAGCATTACTTTTTGTATTGTTTTCGGACCTATGATTGTAAAGAACACATCATCTCTGCCAGCAGCCCCTTTGGTGATTCATTAATCCCCACTGTGAAAACTCCACTACACCTATCTGGTATAAAGCTTGGCCAGCCCCACCAGCTCTCAGTCATGTCCACAGCTTCAGGGAAGATGTTTAAGATGCTGAGGCAGGCTACTGTTAATCATCAAAGTAAGACAAGGGATTACATAACCATGCCAGTTTCAAATCAAAACCATGCTCATAGCTGTTTGGAGGTTGGCCTGTGGTCATCTGCAAACTGACCGGTGTGGGAAACACAGGACCCTCAAGTCAGGCTGTTTGGATAAGGGGTACCCCTAGTCTGCTTATTTGAATTCAGTGCCCTGTTCTAGTGTAAAGGCTGGTGGTCTCCAGTTGGGTATTGTCCTTTTGGGCCATTATTGCTATCAATGCCAATCATTGCCCTTGTCACTTTTCTCCCTTTATTTGAAATCGAGAAAACATTGTATCTTTTAGAATGAATGTGCCTCTTAAATTTAGAATCATTGAGTTTGGGAATAGGCTTTTTTCAATGCGCCTGGCCTGAGGTACACCCCATTAAGAAATAATAGAATTATTTTTTAGAATAATTGTGTAGACATAGGGTCTGGGATTTTATGCGAATGCAAGGGACCATGGGTGATCTTGTGGATTTAATCATGCTGATTTGAATACTGTTTATTCTGGTGGCCGTTATGAATCTGTTTTGCCTCAGGATGTTTGATATATGACTACTCCTTTAAACACTCATACAATACATTGTCTTCTTCAGCATCATGACCCTCCTCACGCAAACAAATAGGTTATAGATAGCTTCTTCAGCTTTAGAAAACCATGAACTTCATTTTAGTGAGAGCATGTCTGTGGAATATTCTACCCAAGGCAAACCCAAAGTGGACACTGGTGGTTATTTTGTGGCCTGTTATTGACAACTGATGTCTTTTTCAGCCATGTCTCTGACGATGTCAACAGTGAGGCGTCGCCAGACAGAGGCAGAAAAGAACCTGAATCGACTGCGCAGTGTCCGCCCCGAGAAGCTGTCAGCAATGTGCAAGATGCACCTGTCATTCCTTCTTGACCTTGACGGTGCCAAGTTGGAGGAACTTAGCAATGAAACCACGGACAATAACAAGCCTGATAAAAAGAGGGGTTGCTCCACTCCATTCTCCAAGAAAAAAGGTAAAGAGAATATTGATGCTAGTTATTAATTCCTATATAAACACTCAAAGAAAGCTTGTTTTTATCAACATGGCACACCCTCTGCAAGTGAACTATCAAAAACAACTTCAATACCTTTCTCTAAGGAAAAAAACAATGCTGATGTTAACAGTCAGTTTAAAAGACTCATCAATTTTCATATCTCCATGCAGGTGCTACAAGTGTTTGAAATTTTAATTGTTTGAATTTTCAAGGATAAGCTTTGCAATTAACTTTGCCCATATAGTTGTGAAGTCCAGTTTTGTGTTTCCTGTATTCAAAGTCAGATTGCCAGACCGTCACTTATTTTAATAATTTGAAGTTTTTTGAAGTATCCAGCTTTCCGACAAGTTTAAGGTCAAAACCCTTTGAAGTCCACTTGACAGCTTCTCATGAATATAGGATGTCCATTGAACCATATGTTGATGAGAACCTTATGCTGGATGCATTAGCTCATAAAAGTTGTGTCCATGGTCAGTTGGATGCGAATCTGATCTACAGCATGTGTTTCTGATTAAATTTCCCCCCAGAATTAACTGCGAGTCTTTGCTCTCTTAGTTCAAGATCATCCCTGGTATCACTCACCAGACTGGTGTCTGGCAGATGGATTTACAATCTAAAATTGACATCAGGCCCATAAACTGTTGGGATGTTTTCACAAGGGGTATGGAAGCATATAAACTCCAGCTGTAACACCTGTTACTGTTTACGATTTCTGCAATCAACACATTTACCCAACATCTGTTAGGTAACAGGTTATTTACATCATATATTTCAAATATTGCTTGTTCATTTCATCAGCAAATGGCGTTAATGTAAGACAGGTGTATGACATCATGTAACTTAGAGCCGATTTTAGATCTATTCCCCCCCATTGTGCTGAATTTCCCTTCAGGTGACCATTAATTATTTATCTGTACATTTCAAAATTTGCATATCATTTATACTTGATGTCTATTGCTTGTCATGCTCACATGATTGATAGCTTGTCATGTTGTGAAATGGGCATAGCTGGTACAGGATGTTAGGTTGGTTTGAAAAGGACACTAGGGGTTTGACATTAATCCCACCCCTATTTCCACTTAAATGGATGATTGGCTTTAATCCAGAAATAAATTTAAAGGTTACATGGTTCTGTTGGTGTATCAATTCTCTCTGTCAACAACTAAGCAAGCAGGATCTGTCCCCTCATCGACAAGCCTGATATGATTAAGGGGATTATGTTTTTCGTCATTGTTGGCATGTCTTTGACAGTTTGCAATGTCAACATAAATTATATAATTTCCTTGGCCTTGCATAGCATTGATGAACTTGGCAAACACCCTCCACTATAATGGATCTCTACAGTCAACACAGTGTTGATAGTGTCAAGTGAAGATGGGAACTCCCCAGCAACTGAACCTTATTCCCACCCTCCAAGATTCACTTGCAAAGAAACTGTTAATCTTCAGCAAGACCACTCAGCTGACCACAAGGGCCCATTCACCAAACACTGCTGGTCACTGATGCAGAAAGCACCTCTGCCAAGTCAATCAGCCCTAACGTCCATCTTTGATGTCCCGTCACTCTCAAATGGCATTAACGCCCTAGTTCCTTCCCCATGCTGTCCATGTTGAGATGAACCTTCTTTTGATTTACAGGGACATTTAGTTCCTATTATGCATTGTTAGGAGGCCTTTATCAATTTTATGCCTGTAGTTGCCCAACAGCAAGAAGGAAGCCTTGAGGGAGATATGGTCAATTGATAAGGTGTTAGAGCTCAGTGTTGTCCCTCCTTTGATATATGCTGCTATCTACCCTGGCCTAGCATCTCTCCATATCCTGGGGGCAAACTCTCTGCTTCCTCCTCCCACCCTTTGATATTTGCTGCTATCTACCCTGACCTACATCTACCTGTATCCTGGGGCAAGTTCTCTTGTTCCTCATCCTCTACTCTATCCTATGTCCGAGATAGGACCTGTGGTGCAGTATCAGTAAATGCACATCATATCTACATGGCGTAGGCAGCAAGTGCCACATGGTCTGTCATTGCAAGACCAGTAGGTCTGATGGTCTGTCATTGCAGGACCAGCGGGTCTGATGGTCTTGAGAAATGAATGGCTTTGATTCCTTTAACTTTGCATGCAGGAGATGGCTTGATCCAAAAAACATAACCAACATTTCAGATACGCAAGAAGTCATTCATATTCCTGGTTTAGTGTCTAGTGTAAGGAGGCTTGGCCAACAGCTTGTATTGTCTACATAGACACACTATCTTTCCATTTGCATCCTTCGAAATTTGTCCATCTGTTTGCTCAAGATGACTAAAATGTGCTGAAAACATAAAAAGGATTTAATGATTGACTAGTAGCATTCAGTGACATTCTGAACCAATGCTTCAAATTTGCTACAAACTGGAACTGAATGAAAGTGATAGAAAATGTAAATTCAGAAAACATTTTATCTTCTTGACGCAGTACCAGCTATCAACTCTGACTAGTCTTCAAAAAGTAACCTAAGGCTGAATTTTTTAATTCTTCTGTAGAACTGAAGGCATTACTTGTGATCAAGTACACAGGGAAACAACAGGTTCTCATCTCAGTACCAACAGAATTGTGTTTCTCTAATTGTCATCTTCTTTGTCTGTAATTGTGTTATGATACCCTTGTTGGGAATGTAACACTTGAGTGTAAGTTCTTCAGCTCAGTTTCTCATTCAAGGAAGTTTATTTGAAACAGTAACAGATCTTTTGTACCATTGAGACTCAGACACCATAATGCAATCCACATTTCTTTAAATGATGTAGCACGTCACCTCTAAGCCTGCACTTGAAACCCCTTTCATTCAGCCTTTTCATGTTCATGTTTCATTATTGCTGCGTAAGCTGTCCTACCTTATCATAGAATTCTACACCCTGTCAGTCTAATGGTGTGGTCACTCAATCTGCTTGAACTTGGCCAACTTGCACCTCTGCCCTATGCCTTCCATCACGGGATGTGGCTATTCTTCCCCTCTCCACCCAGCCATCCCACAAGCCCAGTCCTCTAAAATTACACATACCCAATCTGCCTAATGACTTCCTCCATGCACTGCTTCCATTGTCTCTTGCTAATCCTGTCCCCACCCTCCTGGCCCTGCCTTGCCCTCAAGCACAAACCCCGCCTCCCCACCCCCTTCTAGCCTGTTTCTTGCAACAGAAGCCTGCATACAGTCACCATTCCTAATGACCCTATGCCATTCATTGCATTATATCACATCTCCAAGCCGTCATCATCCCAACCATCATCTGACTCAGTCTACCATCCACTTCTCCCTCCCTCCCCTCCAGGTTTTAATTGCATCTTCTTTCTGCTTCCCCTTCCTCATGTAATCAGGGGTTCTGGGGCCACAAAAGACTTGCTCTAATATTTGTTCTCACTGTAGTGACCTGCCCTTGATCTCCTGTGCTAATAGGTCTTTGAAAGATCTACCCTTTAACTTAAAACTTCACACTTCATTAATGATGCCCGCTTCTATTGTTTGGGTTTTGGTGTAGAAAGACTCTTTCATAATTCGTCATTGAGGACACTGATTTAACCAAAAGTAATTGTTCCCTAGACTTTGTGAGCACCTTGTGTAGCTGTTCATATTGTTAAACCACTTTCATATTATGTCCTTTATTGATGCCAAGATATAAGTTATTTACAGTGAGACCATTCCAGTATTGATATAGCATGAAACCTATTTAGTCTTGATGAATTATCTATTAGAGAAAGTATTCATTAAAGCCAGGACGTGGTTGGGGATCTTTTATGTTTTTATATCACTTGACCTTTGTACTGAAAAAAATTGATTTGATTAAATATTCTCAAAGATCACATATGGCTGTCATTGAGCTTTACTCAGACTGACACTGTCCTGTTAATTATTCATACAACTTACACTAAGAGTAAGAGCCAACACGATTTATGGCTCTCTCACTGACTTTTGTTTGATAAACTTGACTACCATGGTTGGTTAAGCTGATCATTTATTCAGCAATCTTTTGTCATGGAGCTTTGTTCCGATACGTGTCAGGGAGTAAAATCGATGTCAGTTTAGGTTGAGGCATTTGTCCCTTGGATCATCTTCAATAAAAAACACTTTACGTAATCAATAAACGAAAAACCTCTAATTTTTGTTTTTGTCGGTTCAGTGAACATGCAACAAATGCAACCTTATCAATTGTTTCTAATGATTCTAAGGCAAGAATGATTTTTTAGGATAGATTGAGATGAACATTTACAATGTTCCTTTCTTTGATAATTGTAAAAATTGTATTCTTTTATTTTTCCAGGAAAGGGTCTTTTCGGATCTCCAGTAAGCGAGGAGAATGTGGCTCATGTGTACCAGTTGATTGAGTTCCTCGGAAGACCTGAGAGTAAGTTTCTAAATGTAGTCCATGTGACCATGGCAGGTGTTATTTGTAAAGGATCCATACCAGTACATGTGATGTTCAACAGTTGCCTGATAAAGCTGACATGTTAAGTCTTGAAATGACCAAGGCAGAGACAAGACAGATGGCTGGAGAGATTCAATACCAACATATCTGGACTGTCCATTTCAATGTGTGACCCCATGACCTTCAGCATCCTCCACAATGACCACAAGACAATGGTCCAAGTGGAAGTGTGTCTTTCACCAGTGAGACAAAACAGTCGGACACTGAGAAAACAATGATGCAACTGGACCGTTTTCTCAGTGATGTAACCCCTTGACCACCATCACTCTGATTGTCCAGTGATGTTGGTGGTCAAACTCACCTGTACCAGTGATGTCATCAGCAATCATTGCCACTTACTCCAGCTTGTCAGGGACCAGTGTAGGGTAGACACACTGATGTAATGTCAATGTTGATCTGATATAACTGTGTTGAAGAAAAGGCTCCAATTGCAACCAGTCATCCATGGAGGGAGACTGCTTTGAAGTTCTCCTTTGATATAAAAGCTTGCTTTTGGGCAAGAAAAGGTTCTGGATAATCCTGTACACTGGTCAAGTATCACACTTGGACCACTTGGACACAGAAAAGTATTCAAGGAATGAAATGCCCAGCATGTGACTGACCTTGTATTGTATGCAATCTTGATTGTCATAATATTAATGAACGGCTTGACCCAGCTAGCAAGCAGTTGGCTGGACTACTACAAAAAACACAGACCAAGCTTGAATTGCAGTATTTGAAGTGAAGAGATCAAAGGCAGGGGGTCAGACTTGACCACTTAAATTCAGAGTGGAGTTTAAGGTTCTCAAGCAAAGAAACTACAAATGACCTGAATGATCTCAGCTCCTTTCTATCACATTTGAATAGGAAATAAGATTTGAAAAGACAAAATGGCTGAATGGCTGATTGTTGAAACCTGGAAATGACATGAACTTAACCTTGGTCTAATTGGTCCAAGGGGGTTTTGTATTTGCTTTTGTGATACAGGATTTCTCAAATTTGTTCCAGAGAGGACACAATCATTTTCAAATTTAAATTTAATCCCCTCCATCTGTGTTTAGATTGATCTGCCATAAGTCACCCACCTCCAGTGGGTGTAATTGGAAACCTGAAACTAATTGAAATGTTCTTGCAGATATTGCCAAGGAAGGCCTGTTCAGAAAGAATGGAAACATCTGCCGCCAGCGCATCTTGAAAGAGCTGCTAGAACAGGGCCACAACAACCTCTGTCTGGATGATGGCACCTTCACCGCTCATGACGTTGCTGCAGTCCTCAAACACTACCTTGCCGAGCTCCCTGAGCAGCTTCTGACAGAGAAACATGCAGAGGCACACAGGCAAATATTTGGTAAGTATATTACAATGATGTGCTTCGAGACTGTTAATGTTTACTCATGAAAATATCTGAAAGCTCTCAATACTAAACTACGGTGGATTTGTACAGTATAATTACTAGAATTATAATTTATGGAAGCTATGAGAATATATTATTTCAGATGGTACTGATAAAATGACAAATCAATTATGTTCGGCTTATTGGATGACACCTTTTGTTAAACCAGACCTTCAAACTGAAATGTTTGCCAACTACCTCACTAGGGCAAGGTGCAATGCCTGATATTTACACAGGTGTCATTTAATGATGATATGCTAATTTCATTGCAGACATGGGTCGTGATGTGTCCGAGAGTGACCGTGCCAGGGTCAAGGACAAACAGCTCATGGCTCTACAGCTGCTGTTCCATCTTCTGCCCCGAGAGAATGCTCTTCTTTTGGAGTGTGTTCTTGACCTTCTGCACAAAGTTGCCAAGGTCTCAGAGAACAGGATGACATCACAGGCGCTTGGAACGATCTTCACTCCTCATCTGTTCTGTTCAAGAAAGGTAAATATTTCATTATTCATTTTCATTTCTCAATTGTTTAATTTAAGTAATTGTTTAAAATCACAAGCAATTCCAGCTACATGACAGCAGTCTGTAATTATCCCGACTGAATAATAAAAGTCCAATGATTGATATTATGAGCATCGAACTAAACAATCAGGATATGATTCCATACACAATTATTATACATATTATGTCTATAATATATATAACAATTGAAATAGTATAATATTGATAATATCTGTTAAGATAGTTATATTTCATTCCTCTCTTGTCCCCAGTTGACTCCTGCAGAGCTCCATACAGCCTCCATGAGCTCGGCCAAGGCGGTCAGCTTCCTGGTGGACAATGCTCAAGCACTGTTCAAGGTGAGACACATTACAATGCTTTAATTTATAAACATCAGTTATTGTTTCACTTTGTATCATTGCTGTATAAGATTTGCTATTCATAGCAATGTATAGTTCTCGTATATCAGTGACAGGTTACTATAGACAGTGTAATAAGTTAATGTTGTCTGTCACAGATCCCTCGAGAGTTGGCAATAGATGTGTCCAACTTTTGGCGTGAAATGGAAGACCCAAATTACAACAGTAACAGACCTGATTCCTCCGAGAAGAACAACAACATCACCAGACCCAAGGTGAGTAACACATGACATCTTCATTTACACAGTACATCAACATCGACTTCCGAGACATTCTGGAATTGGTCCAAGGTCAATTTTATTCTATTCTGGTCATGAGGCAACCAAACAGATTCAGTAGTATAGGCTTGGTGACTTGGCACCCCAGTGGTGTGGATTATCAATCTCTGGATTGTCTGGTTCAGCCGTTTACAGTCGGTATGGTAGCTGGTATGCTGAGCGCCAGACTGAGATATACAACCATACACACATTTCATGACGTCCAATTTCCTACCTTGTATCCTTATACTCAAATTCTGTTTGATCTTGCAGAAATGGGGAAGTGGCCCAGCCTTGAACACACTGGTGTGCTACATTGACCGACCTGTTTGCCAACAGGCGGACACTGCCAATGACACCCAGGTGGCTCTCGCAAAGCTTTACGACCACGTCCAGGCCATGCCAGAGTCAGCCAAGAAGAAGAAACTACTCAAGCAGGTATGTTGACATTTCTGTGTGATATATGTCAGGTTTTCTTGAGGTTAATCTCACATGTCCGTTATCTGTCTACAAGATTTAAGGAGATTTTTTTCTAAAAGGGATAATGAGAAATGATTAATTATCATTGAGATGTTATAATCTGTTCATGCAATTCTTCTTCTGTTTCCAGTTCAACCGTGCAAGTAGTAACACACAGCCTAAGAACAAACACACAAGAAGTCGGACATTTGGTGAATCACTCAAGGTTAGTTCAGGATTCATTGACAATAGACCAGCCCCTTTAATTGGACTATCCAAGCAGACAAGTGAAGCATTTTGCTGAAAATATCCAAAGCCTTATCAAGTTTTTAATTTGGACTGCTTGATTCAAAGTCGGAAATCTGTGGTCATTTAATGCAATGTGTATTTTCTCTCCCATCAGAAACACTTCCCAGTTCTCCACAAACACAAGCGCCGTGGCTCGAATGACCCTGCCCAACTTACAGAGAACTTGAACTGGGGATTGACCAAACCCATCCTCATCGAGGAAGTTGACGATGACAAGGTGACGATTATCAAGTGTGGCAACTCACCACCCACACCCAACAACAACAAGGAGCCCAAGGCTAAAGTGGTAAGTAACATTCAGTGTAGCAGTGTACACTCAATTTTGAGAATCATCTGCCCTCGATATCTATGTTGAGTATTAACTAAGCATTCCTGAAAGATCGCTAAAACTGATGACTTACTACTACTGTTTAAAGAGACAGAATGAGGTTTAATGTCATTAGGGGTGTCACGATACACCAATCTCACGATACGATAAGTATCACGATTTTAAGGTCACGATACGATACGTATCGCGATACATAACTTTCGAGCCTTTTCATAGCATTACCTTATTGGCAACGTACGCATTCGCTGATTGGTCCATCAAAATAGTCTAGCCAATCACAAAAGCTGTTAGTTTCCAACCTATTTTTTAAGGAAAGCTAGCTACATCTATTTATCGGAGCGGTCTTGTATAATTTTACTATCAAGACTTTGAAGGAGATGGATATAGCATAAAAATTTGAATCGATAAAGTTTTAAAATAGGAATCGATACACGCAAGCATGTATCGCGTATCGTATCGTCAGTAAAAATGTATCAATGAATCGATACATTAGTGTATCGCGACACCCCTAAATGTCATGTTCAGGATTATTGAACTAATATAGCTATGTGCATGAAGGATGTGAGTGAGATTGTCTTTGTTCGGACGAATGTTTTATGGTGCTATCCTTCTGAAATACGATGTAGCACTAGTCAGATAAAGACTCCGAGCCATCTACCGATTCTTTTGTCCCTGTAATGCCTAGCAACAGGCAGTGTAACAAGGAGTACCATCATTCGACATCTGTTGGTATGACATGGCTGGGGTTCGAACCAGTGACCTTCAGCTTTTCTGGACTGCTCTTTCACCTTGTTTTGTGACTAGTTTCATAGGCGATTGTCATCTCATCTTTGTAACATTTGTCAATGGTGATTCTGATGGTTGGGGTGATTATTTTCTGTTGCCATTACTTCTGTGATGACATCGTGACTGATTCCATGATTATCTTTCAGGCCTCCAGCCCAGCCGTCCATATTGTAGACATGAGGGACCACAACACACACAAGACTAACACACGGAAACGACGCAGTAACGAAGACATGGACAGGAATGTTCCCTTCAAGAAAGACAACCAGGAAAACATCAGTTCCCAGAAACATCCATCTGCCGAGAACGAGATCAACTACATGAATGTCAACATGAATGTCAGGAAGACACTGTACTTTACACCCGAACGAAACAAACCCATCGCCATGGTTTCACCCATCACTCAGTCTATGTGCAAGGCACCAAAATCTGTGCAGGTATGTTCAGTTTCATCAATTTTCAAAATATCATTTTTATAATAATTTGTTTAACTTAGGTTTTTATATAGCTCATAATCTAAAGAATGCTTTCATGGTTAACAGCTATTTTGCCAGGAAGATTGGGGTCAGAATGAGTCACTGACATGGTTGATGTCATCTCCAAATTGTGTAGATTGGTGCTCATTATGCCAATCACTGGAATGTCAGGTCCAGAATGGATTATTACAGGCTGCAACCATATAGCTGGAATATTGCTGAATGGTATAAACAACACACATTCTCAAGAAATATTATTGAGTCCATGTAAGCTGTCATTATGTGATGTAGATTATGATTTATAATCAGAACTTACTAGACCAAAATACCATTAGACCAGTGGCTAAAGTGGTTAAAATGACAGTGAATTGCTTTTAATGTTTCTAAATCATTTTGTATAATTCTGTTATCCTTTGTTTCAGAAACAAGTGCTGACCCCTCGGTCCAGAAAAGCTATGTCCCTCGTCCAGTCGCCCATGGACTATGAGAGTTCCATGTAGTGCTACAACAAACACTCTCCACAACTTTCTTACCTCTTTTCTTCGCTCTTCCTTTCTATTCTTCGCTGTCAGATTTGTAAATAACTTATAATGTAAAAATACTTAGTGCAAAAGCTGAACAGAAAGTGCTAAATATTTGGGTACCACCCGGAAATTATTGTGATGTGATGTGTTTGTGAACTGTCGCTGAAAGATGAAGCCCATCAGCCAAGCTGAAGTGGATGCAGCATAGAAATATTTGATTCTCGAGTGAATATGATGTGATTGCCAATAATTGTACAGTTGTGCTCTGCACATATGCATGTAAATCTGCACAACCATGTAAAGATGCACGATGAGTTGTACAGAAGATAAGTGTATGACAAATATTCTTATAATCATGAATGGCAGAATGGTATGATAATCACCAAGTGCTCATTACTATTATCATTACTGTGAAGTGTATCATATTTCAAATATTTTACTACCTGCTGATACTACTGGGAACATTTAAACAACATTCAATACTTTACTCTTCACTCAAGGCTTGAGTATTGTGTGTGCTTTAAATAGGTAGGCCCTCAATAGTACAGAAATCAGCCTTGACTCACCCCTGTACTATTTTGGTTACCATGTTCGTTATTTATTTTGTAACATTCATTCAAAATTGTTTGATTGTAGCAGTTTCCTTTTTATTTGCTTGTTATTTAAGTTAGTTTTTGTCATTCCTATTGCCAAAATTTTAGTAGGAAGTTGAAACAAGCTTTAATTTTAACTTAACTGAAGCTTAGGATTTCAAGGAAAACTCTGCATTTTAGAGTAGAAGCTGCGTCAGATTTCCTACTGCAATGTTAGAAATGCTAAATGGTTGCTCAGCAACATGATTGGAGCATTTTCGTGTGTGTTAAGTGTGTGCTTTAAGTGCTAAATAATCTAAATAGTGTTTTAATATTCTGTCATTCTGTGAGTGGGCACAGAAGACAATGATGATGCCACTCGTGACATGTAATTAAAATAAAGATATATATAAATACATAATAGTTTGGTATTTTATTCTCATTTCTGGAGATGTCCCAGTTTGTGATGGTAGTGTCTACAGCAAACGGAACAGGGTTAAAGATACTAGCCCAGCAGTATTGAGGCTACTCACTGGGCTACACATTTGCTGGTATAATCTAGTTCATATTGAACACACCAGTGGATTAGTGGGATTTACCTAATTGTGTCCACCCTCAGGTCAGAGGTCACACCTGTTCACTGATGTCTATCCTTTTTTGGGGTGGTGATGTGAAAGCACAAAATTTAGATTCAGGTGGCCATTTTAAGGTCCTTTTGGACCCTAGACACCCTTTTGACGTTAGATACAAAGTTCATACAGTGTCACTATATATGTATAATAGTCCTGCTTATGCTGCCCACACTGTAACTAGGGTGTGTGCAGGGATTAAGATGTTTCATGTTGGTGGCAAAAACTCACAAAACGTCACCCAGTAAAACCCAGAAACATGTATATTGCGCTATAAAGTTTCTGGGAAGTACTAGAGAGGGTTTTTGACTTGTCAACTCTTGGAAATCTATGATGGTTGGATTCTTGATTCAAACTACGCAGGAGACACCCATACAATTAAACTGAATCACAGTGCCATACAGACCATTGAGACATTGATTACCATGACATTGTGACCATTGTGACATTAATTACCGTGACATTGTGACCATACAGACCATTGTGACATTGATTACCATGACATTGTGACCATACAGACCATTGTGATATTAATTACCATGACATTGTGACCATACAGACCATTGTGACATTGATTACCATGACATTGTGACCATACAGACCATTGTGACATTAATTACCATGACACAACAATCAAATGACATCACAAGTCTCTCTGTCACAGAAGATGTCAGCTGTACTTTTACTACCCCAAATACTGTTTACAATGTGAAAAAAAATGATACAAAACAGCTGCCCCTTTGTCTTCTGATTCCAAATATATCACTTTACATTGAAATACTGGGTATTTAATACCAAAAGACCTTCAGTGACATTCTCTTTGTGAGTCTCCCGGACTCAGTTTCAAACCAGGCACTAATTACTAGGTCTTAACCTATACTTGTTAACGGGCAGCAGAGCATGGACTCCTTCCTACCCCTTTATCCCTGTATTCTATCTCAACACCTTTTTATAGCCACAGGGTGAATGAGTTTTAACAATCAAACCTGACCCAACATCCCCAATCAGAAGCATTAAAAATTTTGACAAAGGAGTTATAACTTACGCTCTGATAAATATAATAGAATAACAAAATCTATAATCTCATTAGTTTATTAAACCGTGTATGAAACCATTTTTTCTGGACAGCTGGAAACATGTCTAAAAACGAACACCAATTGAAAGTCAGCCAACACAGGAACACATGTACGGATCCACACTACAAAGAATAATCAATATAATAAAAAGCATCTATCCGAAATAAAATTTGTCCATATCGTCATGAACTTCCTGAAGCAATCCAAGCATGGTTAGTAGATCCCTCCAGGGGAGCAACTTAATAGCACCACCTCCCTCCCCTCTATAATGGGCAGGTGGGGTCCCCCTTTGCTGACCACTGCTAATTGCCACGGGGACACATAAATTTCTTTTGACACTTCCCTATCCTTGTGTCCATTTAGCCATTGTTACATGTGACCCCATTTAGCAGTTGCTTTTTCCGAGAGTGTCATCAGAATAAAGGTCTCTGGAGGTGATAACAACTTGGTGGGAGGGATTTGAGTTTATGTGCCACTTTCTGTACAGGTCAAGTTGTGCAAGATACTCTCATTAATCTATTTCACAGCGAGGTACGTGGTTCCTGTCGTCTAGAGTATCCAGGGTTGAAAGTTGAGTAGTGTGGGTCCCGTGACAGGTGCTGCCAAAAACAAAGAACACATCAGGCTGCAGTTCTTGGGTATTGGTAGACTAACGTCTGGTCTCTGAAGATATGTAATTGTATAAAAAATAATTCCTTTTATGTTGTACAAAAAAGGAGCCCCATGTAACATAGATTAGGTAGAGATTCAGAACCTGAGGAAATGTAGACACTAAGGTGAGGTAAGTCACTAGCTTAGTGCAATTAAAGAATGGGAGTTAAGGTTAACCTCGAAACGTTCGTAGCCTAGCTACGAACTTAGCCTTACGAACTTCTTAAGCCCATTCTTAAAACATTGGCTACGATCAAAGTTAAGACTTCTTAAGGCTACGAACGTTGCGAGAATAAGGGCCCTGCTTCTTTAAGTGTTAGGATTGCAGAAAGGGCTAGGTGGAATAGAAAATACAACATTTTGATGTTCAACGATTGTGCGACAGACTAGGGTATTAGACAAACATATACTGGACAAAAATAGTTTGGGATATATGTAAATTTTGAAATTATGAATAATGATCTGTTTATTTATTGACACACTGATAAAATATCAATCATAAAAATACCAATATCCCTAACTTATTTTGTCCAGTATATGAACTAACCTGACATGTTCCAAAATGCATTCCGTATATTACAAATACATGTACAAAATATGCTTATGGATCAACCATTGTATTTTCTTGGGAATGGAGGAAAAGGGGAAACATAATTTGTGGTCAGACTTGTTCCATGAAATACGCTGTTCATTGGACCCGAAGCTGCATCATAAAATCTGAGTCGTGTTACTCTACCTGACGTTAACGTTGCCTCCATTTTCATTCCTTGAAAAATAAAACATTTTTCTACTTCAGTTTTCCCGCCGCTCTGGAAATGTATGCCCCATGTGGAGCGCACTAATAAAAAAACAAGTCCGCTTGATCTTACTACTTCTATGTTTATTTAAAAATACGTTATGTACATCATACATTAATTTAAAGATCACTCAGATCTAAGCATTTACATCCACATAACTTCATATCTATATACACTTTTAAGAAGTTCTTACCCTGCAATAACCCTACTACCCAATTTCAAATTGCTCTGTTTATATACCATACTTTAATATTACGCAAAACTTCATTTTGTTAATGGCATTGTATTTTTGTTCTGCTGCAGATTGAAATATATGTAACGCAGCTGTATATGGGCCTATGGCCTTTCGTACAATAAAGCATTGACACATTGACTCAAAAGTGAACTAGATTTTAAAATCTCTTAAAATAAGTTACACAATCAGTGAAAAACAATATGGTTTTTTTCTTTTGTTTTATACACTTGTTTTTCTCCGTTTGCCCAATCTCTTGTCAGTTGAGGTTTTAGATGAGAAACACATAAAAAGTACGAGTAGCCTTACGGCGAAATAATTTGCCTATTTCGAATTTCTGCCCAACACAAATCTTGTCTGGAACAAATATCTTGCAGTAATACTGATGGGTCTTTAGGACAATATTACGGCGTAATACTTTCAACCAGGCACAAGGGTTAGTTTCAATAACAAATTTGGAATTAGTATCTTCAGTCATCCAATTCCTGATTAACCTATTTTAAATCATTCAGTAGCTGAATGACAAAAAGGACCATTGGGATTTTACCACATCATTAAATACAGATAATGAGTTTGTGAGTAGTGTGTAGGAATGTAGCACATCATCTGATTGGTAGTGTCATCCTGAAGACTAAATATCTCATGAGTACTAGCACAACCCCACCCTGACATGTACCACACACATATCATCTTATCTTCTCCTCCACAGATGGTCATGTTAACAAGTACTTGAGAATTTACTCCCAACAAGTAATTATTTTGAGCATGACACCTTGGTATAGAGTTGTTGAAGGTTTTATAATATCATTATGACGGTGTTTATTTTAGCAGCATTTTGAAAATGGTGTTTTTGCTCAGGTAAGATCCCTTGTTAAGCAATCATTACATCAAACAGGATTTCTAAGGTGTATTTTTTTTGTTTATGCTGTTTAAATTTATACGTGATTTTCAACACGATTGCGATTTTGATTTGTACAAAGAGCGTTTGTCTGGGGAGAGGTATAGCTAGGTCTGTGGTTCGATCCTCGGCGGCGTCTCACCAAAATACGGTACTTATTGTTACCCTGTCTGGTGCTTGACAGTATGAAGTGGAGAGAGAGAGAGGGAGGGAGAGAGAGAGAGAGGAGGGAGGGAGAGAGATACGTATGTACGTGCAGTAATCCTGAACACGACCTTTAATCCCACTGCACCCCACTTGACCCCTGGCCCCTACATACAGTTTATATAAAGGTGAACGGCCTCCCAGAAGTAAACACATACACCTGCTTGTGCGAAGAACATCCTGACCACAAGACAGGATTAACATTTATCTGTCTCCACAAAGGCCACCAACCTCGGGACCAGCCATTTATTATCAGAAGAGTCAGTATTTTTGTAAGCTCCGCCGTACAGCAGAAAATAATGACCCTACTCTTGTGCTCATCTTGATCCTTCCCTAGCGACTTGTATGTTTAGAGACCCTCCAGATGCAACTGAAAAAGTGGTCTGTACCGAATTCCCTCCCTCACTCCACGTCCATAAAACTCACTCACTAACTCACTCACTCGAGACGTCCTATTTGATACTCCACACCCATGGGTTCCATCAAACTAACTCACTCACTCACGGAAATCTTTAGTCCGTCAACCTTCCCCATGCACTCGAAGCGTTTCAGCAAGGTCACTCACTCACTCGGGGAGATTTTTGTCTGTCAGTCTTCTCCTTGAATTGAAGAATTTCATCAAACTCACTCACTCATTCTCAGCTATCAATATATACTCTTAGACTAACGCATATTCTCTGAATATATACAGTATAGTAACAAATAAACCCATTTAAATTGGAAAGGAGCCCAAGTGGAATGGGAGATTCCTGAACTTGAGGAAATCTAGACTTGCTTCAATTAGGACTTAAGCATTGTAGGGAGGGCAAGGCAGTAGGGACAATAATGTGGTTCAGGGACTGTGAGACAGACTACTGTACTCTGTTCTCCAGGATCTGTGAACATTCTACCTGTTCTCATAGGTTTCACCAACGAGGTAAAAC